AATAATTTAATTAAGAGAAAGTAAACTTACCTACTTTCATGGACTTTTCAATTTTTCTTTGGCAACAAATAAACAGTTTTGCCAGAATTAACTATTTCGTGATCTGTGTGTCCCGCGCGACCACTTCCGGGTAAAAAGTGTATTCATTATGTATGTTACTGCTAAAAAACGTTTTTCGTTATGCTTTATATGCTTGAGAATACTCATAAAAATAAGTCTTCGCCAAGTAATCCTTCAAAGTGCTCTCCGTGGTTTTCCAAATATCATAAAACTCTTTTGCATGGAGAAGAGTGCAACAGAGAAATACATTACTTACAGCTTCCTTGAATGAGAAACAAACACATAAGAGAGGGGTCATAATTAACTGTACCAATAACTTAGAAGGTCAAACAGATTATCAGCAAAAACAGATTACAGCTATAATGTGCAGTATTTCAAAAATAATCACAGTGATGGATTTTTTATGTTCCTAAATTTTTTCGATTCTGGGTCTGGGATTTGTTTTTTCTCTGAAAGAGTAGTAGATTTAAAAAGAAAACTTAATAAAAAATCTCTCATCATGGGATTATAGCAAATCAAATAAAAGATTTTTTATTTGGTTATAGGATCAAAGATAGCTAATTAGGTATTGAAGAAGTTTTTATTTTTGAGAGACTTAATATAGCCTATAAATTATATCAGAGTAAAAGTGCATTTTTTATTATGTCTGAAAGTATTTTGTTTTATTCATTCCAGTAAATTAATTATTTTTAAAATCTTTTATTTTCGATATGCTCGCGGCCCCCGCGGAAGGGTATGGGCCCCCCCCCCACGGGGCGCGCCCCACAGTTTGAGAAACACTGGATTACAGTCAATTCTGGATTAGGCACCAGAAAATTACTCTCATAAGTACAAATTTAAAGTGTAATATTACTAAAGCAAATCCAGCTATTCTGCCTGTTTATGATCCTCGTGACCTGCTTATAAAATCACACTGTATCAATAAATATAAGAATGAGTCTTGCTATACGATGTGCAACTATTTCAAAATGCTTACTGAAGTTAATGTTTTGTATTTTATTTGACAATTCAGAAAGAGGTTTTCAGTGCTTCAACTCTTGCATAGACATTTTTAGAGCGCGCGTGTCAAATGCTATATTGTGACTTTTAATCTTGTTAATATTTGAAACTGCTGTTTCTTTTCGATTGATATTAACTTGTTGTCTTCTTATGAGTCCGGAGACTTTGTTGACGATGAAAAGTATGATCACGATGATTTTTACGGGAGCTCCGGTTAAAGGTCTCTATTTATGATGATTCGGCATTTTCCCTTTATTACATGTACATTTCACAAACTCCAATAAACACATGAAATAAACAAGCAAAGTGAAGTACAATAAAAGCAAAACATACCACACATTTCTCTCATAATATTTCTCATAAAATTACGAAACTCCTTTTTATTGGTTCTGGAAGCAACTATTTGCTGTTGATGTTTCATAGCTGTATAATCCTACGAAATGATGTTTGATAAAGAAGATAGTCGCCATGCTTTGGAAGCTTTGACTTATCGTAAAATCACGGATGACATTGGGAAAAATTATATTTTCAAATTGAGATTCTTTTCACGGAAGAAATATGTCATAACAAAATAAACATCGCATTTTAAAAATCACGTGAAACAAAGATGTGAAGTTACAAAGATACCTTCTGTTTAATTATGTCAAATGATCCAAATGAAAGCACGAGGAAGTACGAAACAACACTTGACGGAGTTTTTTTTATAGATATTTAAATAAAATTTTGTATCTAAAGTATTTATAACCTAATTCAGCTACCATAAACCTATTGTTTCCTTCTTAGAATGCAATGAATTCACAAATATGCTTGTATATATTTGGCACAAAAGTATTACTTTATGAGTACAGACATGTGAATAAATAATTTTATAGGACAATACTAATATCCCCTTGTTTTTTATTCACCGAAGTAACTCCTGAAATAACAGTACAAATTTGCAGTTATCACTTCTATAGTGTGGTCATAAGCACACATACTTTTTTTTATATCACTTTTTTTCATATAAGCCATATTTTCTTTGTATAAGATATCTTTTAAAAAATTAAGTATTTATTGAGTATTTTATTACTGAAAATTAGCTTGCGAACTGTTTGATCGACTAGCATGTGTGAGACTTATATTCTTAAA